CTCAATATCAATTTGTTCACAGTTGTTTGGCATGGTCCACGTTGTGCGTGAGGGGGCGTATTAGAATCCCACATTATTTGGGAAAATATAAATGATCCACTTAATAAGGTGAGGGCAATCCTCCTCTAATAAGCCGGTTTTATTAGGTGGAGTTAGGCCCATTAGGCTCAATATTCCTAACAACTTCTAAATGTTTCCTTTCCCAGACACTTTGCAGGAATACTTCAAAATATCTTCAACGTCAAAAGCTGGATGAAAACCATTAAAAAATACCAGCTGGGAAGCATTTTTCTGACAAAATCTTCTCTTATCTAAGAATTTTCAACACCCTGTAGATCTCTCTGGTGATATGGATATGAACCTCGTGGACTAGAAAAGTCATTAGGCACACCATGCAGTGGGGAACCTAAACTAGAATTCGATGATATGGAGCTGACTCTTGGGCTCTGATCGGGAAACATTTGCCCTAGTTGCTCTCTCCGGATCACAGCTACCACCAGTCTCTCCCAGTTGTGATAGGTCGTGGACATCTCTCTTTTAGCAGCTTCAGTACTGAAAATCTTAAAGGACTTTGGTATTCTTCATAATGATCAAAGTCAACATTTGAATTCCTGAAGCTAAATAATTCATAGTCCACATTTTCTCTGGGTCTGATAAAACAATGTTTGACATTGACATTGCAGGACAGACTTTTGTTCTTTCTTTAAAATAATTTTAACATACATGGATGTGCCTGATACGCCCAAGATTTTGTGTAGTTGATAAGTGTATTTTATACACTTATTTTGGGACTGAAATATTGATATTTGATAATTCTTTTGACAAAATATATCCTAAATTATTGTATTTTATGTTATATATGTAAAATTTAATGGTTGAATGAGGAATTGGAAGAAGCAAAGGAAAATGGCAAAGTCCAAAGTTTGGGAACCAAATTGCAAATATTTATTAGTTGATTCGAATCACAAGACGATACTACAAAGATTGTTAGGAGACAAATGGATAAAATTAGAATTCAAGAGGAAATGGAATATAATCAAAATATTATCAAAATCATCTTCAATCGCACAAGTTATACTCTAAATTTTTAGCCGAAAATTGAGACCCATTTTTTGGCATAGTAAACTTTCGAATTAGAAAAATTATATTTCTAAAAAATATGTAGCCGTTAGCTTTCCAACGCACTTTGAATCGCTTCAATTTGATATTGGGAAAGAATGATATGGCCAAAGTACTGACTGGCTTGTAGAGACGAAAAATCCACGTGCAAACGCAACTTTCCTTATTCCGGACGTGATTTTCAACTAATTTTCTACTTCTGCAAATACCTAACAACAGAATACATATTAGAGATCTCTCATATACATCTCATACTCCAATATTCATCAATTATTATCATTAAATGAGGAAAATTCATAATTTTTGTGAGAGATTGAAGGAGAATTGCAATAATTCAATCGAGTGAAAATTCAAACTTGCTTTTTGAGCAAAGAAGAGAAGACACAAGTGGAGATTCAAATCTTTTTAATTTATAAAAAAATTGAGTTATGACTTTTTACTTAATTGTGATTTTTTATAATTTTGATATATTAAGCTAGTTTTATAAATTGTTAGGATGAGATGAGCCCTTATTGTGAGATATTTTGTTCTTAATTAATTATTTTGACTTTAATTTGGTTTGATTTGTGAATGTTTATTATTGTTTTTATAATTCTTTCACTACAATATATTCAGTCATTTATAGCTTGCAAAAAATGTTATCTATCATGTTCTATAGCATTTTTCGAAATGCTATCGTATGTGTTGTTATTAAAAGTCATATCTCTATTAAAACGTTTTATAAATGTTATTATAAAATGCTATAAAAAACTTTTACATAGCATTTTATTATTGTAATGGTTTGAGTATTTATAGCATTTTTTTGTGCAATCATTTTTAATTTGATAACATTTTTTTTGCTATAATTTTGCCTTTAATAAGATTTTTTAAT